ATCAGCGCAAAACCATTTTCCACTCTTTCTCTTTTATTCTCCTCAACGTTCTCTCTGTCTAACCTCATGATTCATTCTTCAGTTGAGCAATCGACGAACGTATTTTCTTTGGTATTCCGTGTCTTTCGAAATTTATTTCGCAGAAAATATGCAAATTAGTATAGATATATACAGATTATCGTTATCGAAGAAATGAATACTTTTTCATATTTTCGTTTCGATTACGGTAATTTTCATACAAATTTCTTTTGTTTTTGTATTTTCCTTCGCATAGAAATGCAGAGGGTCTGCAAATTTAATTCTAGGGAGTCCAAGAATCGTTTTATACAAACTTGTTATTAATTGCGAATATTTTTCAGTGTAATTGACTTTTTACTCATTGACAGTGTCACTGTTGAGTCTGACCATCTACGAAATCCAAGTGGCAGAGATAAGTATTTTTATATTTGGTTAATTTTAAAAACCGAATTTTTAATTGATTATCAATGTTGATTATTATTCTGTTGCTTTTTCATCCTGATAGAATGAAAATATTAAATCCACATATCGAAGGAGGATCAAACTCGAAAACTAGAGTCTATTAATCAGAAATCTATTGAATGTGTATTTCTTCATTTTTTTTTCCTTTTTTTTTAGTTTGCAGAACTGTCGTACTAAAGTTTCGTGGTGGTCGACGAGCGCTTTGAGTTCAGTCATATTTCCCTGAGGAACGAGGAGAGAAACCAGAACGCAAGGGCGTGAAATCGGGAGACACGCAGGAAGAAAATCTTATGAAATAAGAAAAATCGAACGGGGGATTTCTCTAATGGGAATTCTCATTGAAGCCAAAGATAGCATTACAGGGAACAAACGGCTTCCTTTTTGCGAGTTATTATTTTGCGAACTTCGTAATCGAATTTCTACAGAATTTTATAGAAATAAAGTAGAAATGGAAACCAGTCATGTTTTCCTCTTTTGCACTTTTATTAACGTTAGAACTACTCGTAACTGAACTGGCTAACGATAATGAAAACAGTTATATATTTTCAATGGAATGTACAAAAACAGTCTTTTGACTAGCTTGACAATTGACAATAGTGTGATGGTGAAAATGACAGAAATAAAATTCAGGAAGATTCTAAGTTCAAAAAAATTTACTAATTAACACTAGAACTATCCATGTGTATCTAAATACGGTACACATATATGATAATAGTTAAAATGAAAATAAATAAGTAGAATAGTATATATACATATAATATATAATATACTATAATATAGTTATGTAACTTATGGTTATTATAAACTATACTATAGTTTATATAAGAGCTGACTTAGCAGTTCTAGTGATAAATAGTATAGTTCTAATGAACAGTATAGAAGTTCGCAGTAAGCCTCGTAAAACGTGCTCCTTACATTCTGGCATCAGATTTCATATGATCTATAAATGGGCACATTGGTCTGTAAATTCTCCCTTGGAGCATCTCCTCGATTTTCATTTCGAGTACTAAACGAATTTCATTTCTTTCCTACCGATTCAGCTGAAATTTTACATTTCCATACGTGACAATATCGTAAGTCTTGTCGTTCAAGATGTCCTATGAAATTTCTATACAAAACCGAAACCTGACCTTATCTAACTTTCTCCAGGTATACTTCTTCCCTACTGGATCTTTAAATGAAATCACCTGTACGTCCAATAATATATCCAAAAGTGACGCGAATGGAAGAAAAGTTACAAGTGGTTTTCCGCAACAAATTGTCCAAGCGTCAGCTTGGAAGAATGCGTGTGCCCCTTCAAAATGAATGGAACGAGTGCGAGGAAATTTGCTCGGTCAGCCAGGCTGGATCGATGACTAGATAGGCTGGTGCAAGCACCAAAGCAAACTTTGTCTTGGCTACCGGCCACGATCCTCTATCGAATCACCAAACGGAGTGATAACGATAACTCTAGCAACTGCTCAAGCTAATATCGATTGTCATTAGACACCTTACGAAATTCGCTTGCCTATTTGTTGCACAACCAGAATCTACGACTCCGGTATTCGTAGCTCCGGGATATTGAAACAACATATTGTTCGTCGATCGTTGCCCTCTCTGTTTTTCTTCGCTGTAAAAGGGACTCTAACTTTTAACCTTCTTACATTTTATGATATGTTACAAGAAACAGAAAAACACTTGCTTAGGTCGCTACTGCACGCGGTTCTTTCGTCGGTTGTACAGAGCAGACTGTGCTCTAGTTTGATTTTCTATTGGCCAGATTACTCATCTTCTCTGGCAATTAATGTCTCGTTACATATAAGTTTTGCAAAGTAGCTGCATTATGTTTAATTTAATATCTAACATTAGAACCACAGACCTGTAATATATAGTTAAATATATTATGCACAAACGATAGTATGAAATGATGTGATAAATATAAATGTATATATACAATAACATTTCTGTCTGAATAAATATCAGTATTAATTTTCTTAAAGATAGTTGCGATTACAAAAATAAAATACCTTAAACCAGTCTGACTGATTTGACTGATTTGGTGGTTCTAATGTTAAATAAAGTATACAAAATCTGGATCTTCAAAGTTTGTCTATGAATACATAGATGTATAATAATCCATAACTTTGGATTTAATGGTATCAGAAGAATTATCAGTGTATTGTTTGTTTTTTAACATACTGATGCAACAAATATGATGGATAAGTGAAAAACATAGGCTGGTACATAATAGTATGTGTAAACTTTCTTAGTGTAACTTATGTTTATTTAGCGTAGTGTAACTATTATGTTGTAAAGAAAGCAATTGTTTATTATACAAAAGATAGCAATCTGTAAATTTGTTATGCTATATATAGTCTGCTCTATACCCGACGAGAGTGATATTTTACAGCTAATTTACAGCTATACATTACGCACTTCATAATCTCATATTCTATCACGAATACCGATATTAAACAATGTGGATAGTTTTATATGCAACACCCTTAAAGATTAGTGCCTAACCGTAACAGTATTTTAGTTATTGTTCTTGAGCACAGAATTCAAATGTGATTTTTCTTTCATCGATTTCTGCGTCTAGTCGATGGCACACTAAGAATAAATCGATGGTTATCTTTAAAAGTATTACTTGGCTTGTAAAATTATCGTATAAGTAATTGTCAGAAATTTTGTAAAATATAAAATGTTTCCCGTAAGAATCGACAATGGAAAATATAATATATACAAAAGTTAAAGATATATTAAAACATCGTAAGTCTTCTCTTCTTTTTTAGAAAAATCCATTAGTTATAAAATATACGTATAAATACTTACAGACTAAAATTGATTATTTTTGTTAATCATACGTTAATTTTTATGGGCAATACTTTTATCTTGGCAGTGTTGTTATACATTAAAAAAAAGAATAAAAAATGATTGGCATACAAATAATTTGTTGATGAGTACAATATATGCATATATATGATGTATATATATAACAGAATGATGCAAATGTAAATGTTTCATTACACATGTCCCATCTTAGAATGACTAGACGCAATAATCCGCTTAATTATATTTATGGACAAGAATGTGTTTACCTTATAATCGTTTAAATGCAGAAATATAAAAACTGTTACGAGTTTCTATCTAAATAGGCGTGTAGAAATATTGAGTCGATCTCATAGGAAGTTAGAATGCCATTTCCAAATCACGAGCGAACATATCATCGATTGTGTAGAAAAAATGATTGAAACTCTTAAATGAGAGGCGTGAAAAGTGTACTTGTGATCCCATATTGCTTTTTATTAGGCGAAAAAACTAAAATATATTTGTAAATATGTTCTTCTTGATATTGTGTATGTACAATCTTATATTACTCGATATATCTGCAAAATAATCCTCTCTTACCATTTACGCCTATGTTCGACAACTGTTTAGACGAAAACACGGATTTCACGTTCTACTAACATGGAACGAATGTTCATTAAGTGTAAACCAGGATTAACGTAGGAACGTCTGCAGGAAGTTTAGGAATTTCCTAGAACATTTAGGAGACACTTCGTATATCCTGAGGATATCTTACTTAGAACTTGCGTAATGTAATTGCTGGCCTTATTAAACTTGATATTATATCGTCAAATTGGACCGAGTTTATTCACGTGATCGTTATTTCACTTGACTTGTTCGCTATTATAAATCAAGTAAACACCGATAACTATATCCAACGACACCCCCGATTATTAATATTTGCACAAAAAGTTTTCCAATTTGCGTATTAAACTTTCCTCGCAAATATATAAATACGACTCTGGCCTTGATCCAATATTGATTTTTATAATTGACAGTGTTAGAAATAACATATGTCATATGTATTTATTCTAAGAAAGAAGCACGAATCATAACCTTAATTGAAATATACGTGTCGAATTGAAAATATTATATCCGTTTAATTAATCCTGGAAACGACATTCCAACTCTTTTCAAACATCGCTGCATACTTTCTTTGAAATTCTCGCATACTTCGCGTGCAACGAAGATGCCTCGTTCGCGACAAACTTCACACGTATAAATACTCGTTTGTCTCGGTTAACGTCGGTTAACCCGGCGACTCTACGCGGAAACAGTCGATCGCTAACGATATATCTATTCTTCGAACGAATATCTCGAAACGTTTTTAAACCGAAGAATCCTGCTAATTTGCGAAGCATCAGTTCCTGTTACAAAAAAGTTTGGTTATGAAAGAACATACGAAAGCTGTGAGTTATTATTCCCGAAGGAGATAAAATCAGTGTCGACGGTGAACCGAATAGAAAGTGTTTCATCCAATTTTTCCGCCATTCGCCGAAGCGCACACTATGTCACTGTGATTGAATGATTACTTCTCTATTTATAATATATACGATGTAATAAGGGTAGCTATCAATCTGGAACACACCGTCGTGTCCCGCAGGAGTGTTCTTCAACGAACCTAACCTAACAGGTTGTCCTTCACTTTTTTATTTCTATCAAACATACTTGTCCAGCTACTAACGAATAAAGTTTTACATTTCAGTGTTTTCTTCGGCCTCTTCGTCGACCTTCGGCAATATGTAGACACCAGGAATCGGCGGAACGTGATCTTCGAGTTTCAAAATCGGCTTGCAGTCTCTAGTGACGTCTACCTGATTGAAAGAGTCCTTTAGGATATTGATTTCGTTCTCATGCGTGAACAAGCTGGTTGGTGGTTCTGTTCCACATATATCGTTTTCATCGGTGCCGTTCCTGTGGCACAAGTTGCCAGACGGAAATTGTCACGAGGTTAGCGTAAGAGGATCGGTCGACAGTTCGTCCACACTCGGGCTGGTTTTCACCGGCTCTTGCTTCTCCGACTGATGGCTAAGCCTGTGAACGATCTCGTCGTGGAGGATGTTGAAGCACATCGCCGTGAGCGCCATTCCAGACATTATGTAGAAGGAGCAGAACCAAATGGTTACATTCCTCGACTCATAAAGGCTTTGGCGGGGATAGGAACCGGGAACCATATCTCCGAACCCGATCGTGCTCAGGCTCATGAAGCAGAAGTAACTCGCATCTATAGTTAAACACGAAACAGCAAGTTTAGTTATAGAATGTACAGCCATCGATTTTAGATACAATCGGTATTAATATGCAAATTACATATTTCAAGTTCCTACTAATTTAATATCGTATGTTTATTATACATTTATTATTATATTAAATTTTAGCATACGATCGTTTTCATGGAGAAATTTGGAACTTTTGATTTACGAAATGGAATTGTTAAAAGATCCTAAATAAAAAAAAAAAAGAAAAAAGGAAAAGCTGAACAAATTTTAAATAAAATACACGATTGTACCTAAATTTGTTTATATCCATGATACCGTAAATTATATAATTTACTAATATTTTTGGAATAATTTTGGAATTGTTAAAAGATCCTAAATACAAAAAAAAGAAAAAGCTGAACAAATTTTAAATAAAATACACGATTGTACCTAAATTTGTTTAAATCCATGATACTGTAAATAATATAATTTACTATAATATTTTTGGAATAATAAATATATATCTGTAATTACTATTTTTGAACTTCTATATTTATATGTAGTTATAAACATGTAGTGGTATTCAAATGCAATCGACATCAATTTTTAATTAATAAAAATGTTACGGGTTCTATTTAATATAGTAATTATGAAGTTACATAAAAATTCGCTCACTTTAAAATACGAATTTAAATGAAATTTAAATCCATTTTTCATGTTCTACGTATAAAAAAATTTATCGAGGATATTTATTTCTTTATAATTATCAGGGAAACAAATTTCTTTTATTCCACCGCATGTAAATCTTTAATGATTAGATTTAGCAGCAATTAAGTTGGATGGATGTTGAATTATAAAAAAAAAAAAAATGTAACGATATTAATATTTTAATTTTCCAGTTTAATATTCATATTTGCACGCACATGTGTGTTGTTTTATTTCATTTGAATTTTATGACTTATGGAAAGTTGCGTGAGAGGAATGGACGTTTATTTTATATAAACTTGTTTTTTATATTTTATATGAAACTCTTCCGTCCATATTTTATATAAAATTCTTTCATGCATATTTTTTCGGAGATTGCGTCGGTTTATCCCAGAAAAGAAAATATCAAAATATTAATAAAAATAATGCTACCTTTTATCGTTTTTACATCGATAATAATACTATTCGTATCCTATTGTCCAACTGTTATGCGAAAATCTCATGTCGCGTTGTATTTCAATTTTTGTTTCAAAACAAACAGTCTCTATTTTAGAACAGGTCGAGCGATTGAATGGTAGTTTGTATGTTCGTCAGAACAGTTTTTCGAGAACTCACAATTTGGACACGCGTGTTTATTGACAGAGGCAAAAATTATTTTTGTTTATGAATTTTAATCAGTGGAAGTCGAATATTGTATTTTAATTATTGGGCTATCTTTGAGCTTTTGTCATTAAAGACAATATTCCCGAATTTATTTAATAAAAACTACTCGTTGAATTGATTAGATTCTTTTCTTTATTGCAAATACAGAAGAATATGCTTTGTATGAAAAATTCTCCAACCTTGTATATATTGTATTTTATATATTTGTATAAATTTTAAACGACTGTTTTTTATTATTAATGTAATTATTATATTTATATTTATTTATTGTATTTATTTTTGTAAATGACTGCTATGTGAATACAGTTATATTATTTGCATAATTTTGGTTTGCATAGTTTTCATAGTTGGACAAGGATGAATTTACAATAATTATGTTAATTTATATCCTACTGATTATTGTTTACTAATTTTGGTCTATATATTTTAAACAGTTGACTAAATTTCATTATTTTAAGTTGCAAAATTACGTTTCATAGAAATTTTCTACTCTTTTGGATACAAATTTCAATCATTGGAAAATGAAAGAAAATGGCTGCATATACGATAGTAAAATTGGTATCTGATACGATATTCTTTCTCTTTTATAATCTCGATCCTTTTCGCTATTAATTCTATTACCACTTTAACTGCCACGTTGGTCATATATGACCGGCCATGGTTTCTCTTGTGGCGCCACGGTGGCCATTGGTGACGGAGCGCTTGAACTACTTACAATTGTAAAAGTTGAATGAAAATTAACAGTTAGTCAATTGTCAAATTTTACCAAGGCACCACGGTGGTCACCCGTGACCGACAATAAGATAAACGCTCCATTGGATAAGAATATTGTCTTACTATTATTTTAATATTATAATTTATTATTATTTTGCTATTATATGCTTTGAATAATGGAAATACATAATAGAAACATGTGATTTCGGCGTGGCAGTCAAAGGGATACCGTTTTCTTTTTTCCCCATTTCGTAATTTATTTTGCAATTTAATTTTGCCTGCCATGTTCGCGAATTATAAAATCCAACATATTCCACGACATCATCTCTATTGGATTAAGGTCGGATGACTGAGGAGGAGTTCTCACTATTTTTGGACAACTATTATTTCTGTGCGAATTTAGATTTATAATTGTTATACGGATAAAACGTACGATTAGGTTAAAAAATAATATAAAAGAGAATCGAAGAGCGTTTGACACTGCTATATCCACAGCGTCATACACATTATTGGCATACACGTGTTATATGGCTTTGAAAGTGCGACTACAACGATTATTCCTGTGCGAATTTAGATTTATAATTGTTATACCGATAAAACATACGATTCATATTTAGACCTAGGCATTCTTCGGTTAAAAGATAATATAAAAGAGAATTGGAAAGCGTTTGACACTGCTATGCCCACAGCGTCATACACATTATTGGCATACACGTGTTATATGGCTTTGAAAGTGCGGTTACAGCGTAAATCTTTTGGGAGAAATCTCTTTTGCACGTACCCACAAAGGACCAGCCGTCTAACTTGTGGAGAGTAAAAGCTCCTGCCACAATGTAGCAGAGCATTGCACCCAGACAAATGCTGATTGGTGCGAGTATAGTAACGTTGGGTCTGTCACCGGAACTAAGACTCGACACTTCGTCCTTCGGGCTGGTCTTAATTTCCACTGTGCTCGTAAACGTTGACACGTTCGCACGGACGTAAAAGGGTTCCTGCAACTGCAATTGCTGCTGCTGCTGCGCCAGTTCCTCTTGCTGCCTTTTCTTTCTCATTCTTCTTTCCTTCTCCTGCATTCACGCCAATTTAAAAGCAATTTTTAAGATTGATATACGGAGGGCGAGACACCATTTTTCTGGGTTATTTGGAAAATCTTTCTCAAAAATTTATTTCCGCTAGATTTATGATGCTGTGATAATTTATGGAGTATATCGAGTAACATTCTGACTCTGATCGTGAATTCTAAGAATTGATTTAACGTAATATTTTGATGTGAGAAAATTGATTTTGTTGTCTCTGATGTAGTATATAATATTTTAAATATTAGTTTAAAATTTGAAACACTATCAGTGGTATGTTTAATTTCTTAGTTGTGATAATTGTTGTGTGAAACAGTTTTGTATTTTTTAAATTAATATATGGAACGAGATAATTTTTTTTATAATATTAACCCTTTGCACTCGAGTGTTCTCTTTTAGAACTAATTTAATGAGAAACAGAAAAATTGTTAGTAATTATATAGAAAAATTATGCAAATTTAACGGTTCAAAATACTATTGTTCCTACAATAACAAGATTTTAAATTAAATAGCGAATAAATTATTGATTACTTACTGAAAATTATTGATAATTGATTATTGATTATTACTGTAAATTATGATTACTTACTATAAATTATTAATTACTTTAAAGTAATTATTAAATAGAAGTAAATATTGAAAAATTGATATATATATATATATTAGAAGAAAAATTGCATAGTCAAGGGATAAAAGCGATAACGATGAGTATGAAATTTTTAATCAAAATATAGGATTTGAAAATGATACTTTAGGTTCATTATAATGATCTTTCTCAAAAATTTTAGTCTTAAGTGATTCGTTTTTCAAGTGCAGAGAGTTAATTTACAATTTTTATATAATTGGAATTTTTTTTCAAAATGTAGAAAGAATGTAGTCAAATATTATCATATGTAAGCACAATCACATAAGTTAAAACGCAAAAGTCGTACAACATTTACGGTTTGTGTACTCACCTCCATTCGTCTTTCGTCGTAGCAACAATAGCCACAATTTGAACAAAGGCAGCAACAAAGAGCACGCGTGAAAACACCTCTGGCACACCTGGATAGAAGGCCTCCAGCACTTGACAAGTAAACCAAGGTCAAGGGAATACCGAGACTGGCATAACCCGTGGTTGCGATTTTACCCCATGTAGACCTTGGTGTTATGCTACCACAACCTGAAAAAATGATCAACCATTTAAACAATGATTTCCAACTCTTTTTATACGAATAATAAATTTGTCAATTTTTTAACAATTAACCTAAATTTTATTTTTAATTTTTATATTCATTCAAAATTCATTTCGTTTATACGAATAATAAATTAATCTATTTTTTTAAAAATTAATACAAATTTTATCTTCAATTTTTATTTTCGCTCAAAATTTATATCGTTAATAATAATAATAATTAATCAATTATTGTTATATTTAATAATTAATCAATTATAATAAATTCATCAATTTTTTAACGATTAACAAATTTTATTTTCAATTTTTATTTTCACTCAAAATTTATTTCGTTTATACGAATAATAAAAAATTTCATTTTCAATTTTTATTCTTAAAATTGATTTCTTTTCTTGAATAAAGTTGCATAAAGTTGAAATTCCATTGACAAGATGAATATATCAATGAACAATAAGTTTCGAATAGAACAAATTTTATTTTGTGTTTAATTATTTTCTATTATTTTCTGTTTAGTAATTATGTAATTGTTAGAATATATGATTTTAAGTGAGTGATAATCAATCTTAGTCAAATTTTAGTCTTCTGAAGAGTATAAAGTGTAATCTTAAATTGGAAATAATTATTAACTTCAGAATTTAGTGATATCCTCTATCAACTTCAAATATCTAGCGTGTTGAATCATCCATCAGTGTCTTGAAGAATTCAATGGATCAATCTAAATTTATCACAGAGTTTGAAATTTTAAGCAACGCGTATGTTATGACACGCATTGTTACTGTTTCTGAGAATTTCCAATTTTATAGTACTTCATATTTTTCATAATACATCATAATAGACGTCGAAGCTGGAAGTCGAGGTCCCCTGTATTAGCCTAGACATGTTACACTCTATAGGAGTCTTAAGAGAGTTAACTAGGTCCTCTTTCTCAAGAATTAATAGCAACTATATGTTTTAAGCTTGTAACATAATTCTTTTCTATGAACCAGACTTATATTCTCACTTTTCAGACTCTTAGGGTGTCATGGTAGGGTGCCATAGTATAGGTCCTATACCATAAGGTATGAAAGCTAATCTATTTGACAGTAGAACTAGTATACTAGTCAAAATAGTCTTAGATTTTTTATTCTTGCAATTACTCAAATTATAATTAATTGTTATAGTATATAGTATTATAAATAAATTATAACTTAAATTGTTATAGTTAATACTGTATTAGTAAATATAGTATTAAACTATTATTGTGATACATTATAGCATTATAATACTATATTGTGATAGTATTATGTATTACAATAGTTCTACATTTTAACTAATTAAGTATAAAATTATATTATATTTTAATGTTATTACACTGTTATATGAGCCGTTCACTGCACAAATCGATTAACTCCACTTTTTGAAAAATCTTAAATTTAAGTGTCAAAGCACTTGGTACAGTCATAACTTTTTATATTTATAATAACTTTTCCTGATAATTAAGATTAACACCGTTAAACGACAAAAATTTTTTGGCCACTGAATAATACATAATTTATTTCAGAGGTCACTTTGATTAACTCTGTACCCTAATGTAAATCGTTGCAATAATGCAACTCAAATGCACTTGCAAGCCATGAATGATAACGGTGAATTTTTTAGTGCCGTCTTATCAGAATTTAAGTAAAATTTAGTAAAATTTAAATTTATTACTTTTTTACTTGCCAATTCGATTAACTCTTACAGTAACATAAAAATGGTAACATTACCAACGATTACCTTTCGGCTATTTTTTCTTATAAATTTTAACAGTAGCATAAAAATGGTAACATTACCAACGATTACCTTTCGGCTATTTTTTCTTATAAATTTTATATACCGTTAGATGAAAGTTACATTTGTATTTATGCATTCTACGATATTTATTTCGATTTAAATTATAAAGGGAATTTTAAAAAACAATATACATTATTTCATTGTATTCTCCACTTTTTGTTTTATGGGGTTAATCAATGCATTTGGCAATAAATTTCATTTATAATAAATCAACTCCAAATTCTCGTTCCGTGAAATTAATCAGTTTATTAAGTAAGCCGTTCATACCATACCCAGTCGACAAATAGACACAATTTAATGAACGATATCAAATAGTATTTCTTCTTGCGATAGATGAAAAATAAATATCGAGTAATCGAGCTCTAAATGTTCAAATTTTACCGCGGAAAAAAAGAAAAATAATAAAAATTAAAACGAACTCTGTAATTTACAATTTTCCAAACTCATGCCATAATTTCTTTCGTGACACGTACGAGAACAAAACGGTTGGAAAACTCAAATTGATTGAGGCAATTTCCACTGTTTCGACATTTTAACATCCCTCCCTCATTTACATTTAAAACGATACTTGCTTTTTCGATGTCCCAACGAAAAAACAGAAAAAAGGAAGAAAAAATAAACGGAGGAAGATAGGGGGCAGCAAACCAGCGGATGATAGTATAGTAAAAGTGCGATAATCCGAAATTCTTGACCGTTCGTAGCGTCAATTAACCGTAATATCGGTGGCGCAGAGGTCGCTGTAGAGAGGGACTTAAAATTTACATAGAGGGCGGAATATTGGTGGAACGGATGTTGGTTAATATCTCGTAAGCCGTTGGAAAAAAGTGTAGCGAGAATGAAGAGCCGAGGGTAAAAAGGGGAGGCATTTTCTGATAGGCGAGTTGGAAAAAGCGGAGGCGCGAATCGATCGGGCAGACGCCGCTTAAGATAATGGATCGCCTATTGGAATTGCTCTGGACCGTGCATGATAGTGGCCTCGAGTGCACCGTCGATGGAATTGCAGTCGCGGAAACCTCGCGAAACTACGCGAAAGCCTATTCGTCACTGTCGTTTCGCCTTATCGTTCACGACGGTGTGACCCTCTTCGTATCCGTTATCTGTTACCATTTGTTAAGGACCACGGCAGATTGTCAGCTCGAGTTTTATTGGTTGGACACCAACCGTGTATAGAGACATAGCGTCTGCTGACTGTAACGAATCTGTTAATCGTTCCAATTGGATGTGTTCGTTAGGTCCAAGATGTCGTATGTGGGAAGTAGTTGGATGCTTGAAATTTGAGTTGAGGTATTATTTTGTATTAGGGTATTCTACTGTATTGTTTATTAGGGTATTGGATTATTCTGTATTAGAGTATTTGAGAATATTGGGTGTCAGAGTATTGGAGTATTAGGATATTATGAATTAGAGCATTAGAATATTTGACTGTATTGTGTGTTGAGATATTAGACTATTGTGTATTAGAATATTTGATTATATTATATATTAGGGTATTATGGTATTAGGGTATTAGAGTAGTCAACTGTATTGTGTATTGGAATATTAGGCTATTATGAATTAGAGCATTAGAGTATTTGACTGTATTGTGTATTGGGGTATTAGAGTATTATGAATTAGAGCATTAGAGTATTTGACTGTATTGTGTATTGGGGTATTAGAGTATTATGAATTAGAGCATTAGAGTATTTGACTGTATTGTAAATTAGAATATTAGACTATTATGTATCAGAGTATTTGATTATATTATATATTAGGGTATTAGGGTATTAGAGTATTAGAATAGCCTACTGTATTGTGTTTTGGGATATTAGAGTATTAGGAATTAGAGCATTAGAGTATTTGATTGTAATGTGAATTAGGATATTAGACTATTGTGTATTAGAGTATTTGATTATATTATATATTAGGGTATTAGGGTATTAGAGTATTAGAATAGCCTACTGTATTGTGTATTGGGGTATTAGAGTATTACGAATTAGAACATTAGAGTATTTGATTGTAATGTGAATTAGGATATTAGACTATTGTGTATTAAAGTATTTGATTATATTATATATTAGGGTATTAGGGTATTAGAGTATTAGAGTAGCCGACTGTATTGTGTATTGGGGTATTAGAGTATTATGAATTGGAGCCTTAGAGTATTTGACTGTATTGTGAATTAGGATATTAGACTATTGTGTATCAGAGTATATGAGTATATTATGTATTAGGATATTAGGGTATTAGGGTATTAGAGTATTAGAGTAGTTGACTGTATTGTGTATTCGAATATTTTACTGGAGTGTATATTGGGGTATTGGAGTGTATTGTGTACTAAGGTATTAGAATGTATTATATATTAGGGTATTATATTACTGTGTATTACAGTATTTGACTGTATTGTGTACTAGTGTATTAAACTGTATTATATATAAGGGTGTTAAGCTGTATTGTGTATTAGGGTATTAGATTCCTAATATTTATGATGAAACTAAGGTATGTATATGGAAATTAAATTTTCGATTATTAATTTTTAGGATATTTTAATAAATATCAAATTTGAAGATAGTATAAATTGAAATTAAATTCTGCATAAATTTAACACGAATATTTAATACTGTATTTAATATACCTTAAAGACAAATGTTTATAGCATCAAAATGTATATAAAATAAATTAATTAGACATAATTGACAATAGAATTAATATTCACCAAATTGAGATGACTCATAACAATGAAACCATAATGTTAAATATTTATTAGAAATTTTAAAAACGAGTGCAATATTTTATAGTTATTCATAATTCCTTTAATACTTAAACAATCTAAAATACAAACAAACTTCAATGGAAGCAATTGCAACAAAACACAGTAAAAATACTTGAATATTGTCAATAATAGCAAAAACAAAAACTGTAAAATAAATTATTTCGACAAGTTTGACATCGCTAATGTCAATATCGAAATTTACACCTAACTTATATCGTCAATTCTTCTCTGTTTCGAGGTTTTCTTGCAGTGGAACGAGTTATGCGTACCGTATTCAAATCACAGAAGTATCGAGAGATGGCGGCCACCTTTTATTAAAATGGCCGATATTGCGCCCGTGTAAGAATCCGTAACGCGTTCGCAGAAGATATTGAAAACAATTCCTGACACTCGACAGCGAAGTGAAAGCAATAGAATTTTTAGACGC